ATATAAAACTGAAAGCCAAGTGTGAAACAAGGAGAGTTCAAGAAATGTTTTCAATCAAGTCACTTTCAAGAAAGTGTGGAGACATAATTATAAACAGTATCTTAACAGTCAGCCCTTTGTCCACACTGGAGTGCACATAACACGACTACCAGCTTCTTGTCTCCTCATCTGCAGCTCCAGGAAAAGTTTGGCTGGGATGCCTTTAAGAAGGTGTTTACTCCGTATCACCACATAAAGGACTTCCCCAGTGACAACAAAGGAAAGATGAACCTGTATGCTGAGACTTTCTCCCAGACTGTGGGGATAGACCTGACTGGCTTCTTTAAGGCCTGGGGCTGGCCAATAGAAACAGCCACTAAAGGGAAGCTCTCCCAGCTGCCTTCCTGGAACGATCACCCCATGACCCAGTATCAATAAACCTCAGACCACTGAAGGGTGGTTTTAACCAATAACTTAACTTGAAATGAATGATGAGCAACACGGTGAATTGATTTGGTGTTTGGTGTTTTGTTTTAACAACATTTATTAGAGTATCTGAATAGAAAAACAGAAATGATGTACTGAGGTTGCAGGGTTTGAATTCAGTATTGTAACTGGTTTGTGATTCTCATGTTCCCGAGGGGAAGTACAGAAGGCTTCCACTTACTGCCAGGTAGACTAGACTTTTGATGGTATAAGGAGTGGCATCTTTGCCTTTATTTCATAGTTGATGTGAAGATACAGGCAGGAAATGTGACTTGTTATACATGTTCTGGGCTGAAATCATACCAAGGCATTGCACTACTATAGCATACATTGCAATCATTTGTTCTCTATAAAGAAATACAATGCATTATGCATTATGTTTCTGTTTTGGTCTTGGTTTCTGTTTGCCAACCTGTTTCGGTTTCTTTTACTTGCACAGCAACCCTTTCCTTATGCAAAATGAATTTTTATAAAGAAATTTATATTCAAGAGAATACAAGGGATTTTCTACAGGTTTATACTGTAAGAGTGTGGATGTGGAAGATGTGCATTTTCTTTGTGTGAGTAAGTAAACTGCATCTTTCATTTGATCTGCTGTTGCATATTTGAATTATGCTGGTTCATAATACAGAGGTCAGACTTTATATAAGCAAACCTTTGTCTTTGCTTTCACACTGATATCTGTTTGCTCACAACTGAAACACTAATAAACGTGAATTATACCTCTCAGACACTTCCTTTTTCATTCAGCTCTGGAGAGAAACTTTAGAGTTCACGTTTTTTTTCTGTGCTGAAGAAGATTATCTGTTGAAGACAAATGCAGGTATCAATAAGAGACAACTAGAGTACAGGTGTGTGTGAGTGGGTGGGAAGATCAGTAGAACAGATGCATGTGAGAGTCAGGTGACAGGTCAAGAAAGAAAGGCTGAGGACATCTACTGGTGATATGGAGAGCTGCATGAAGGGGAAACTGAATGTGGCAAAAGGAAGCGACCAATAGAAATAGAGTAAACACAATATAATTGGGACAGGTGACAAGAGACATATGGATGGTGTGTTACTGTGAGTCAATTGAAAAATGGCAGAGAGTTCGGGTAGAAGTGTAGCCTTGAGAAAACATGCCATGGCAACCATGACATCACATATGTTGTCCTTGTTTCCCCGTGAGGGATACACACACATGTATTATCCTTGTTTAAATGGGATTGATATTCTCACTCGCAGATATCCCTACACCTGTTTTCTCTTCTGTAGCTCCTTTGGCTGGGATGCTGAAAAAAAAGCGTTCACTGCTTGCCACCACATAAACAACTTCCCCAGTGACAACACAGAAAAGATGAACCTGTTTGCTGAGACTTTCTGGCTGGGCCGTAAAAAAACGGCTACTATCCGGTTGTTAAGTGATGACGTGACGAATCCTACTTCCGGGCCTAAAGTAGTCTGCGTTTAATATGGCTTTTGTGTTGTTAACATGTTTAATGTTTTGTATTTTCTTCTATTTAATCTCAAAAAGCTCCTAAACAGTCAGTGATCACTGTTGACCTCCCTCGGCTTTTATTACCGCTAATCATTTATTTAAGCTCAGTTTTTAAAACCTTAGGATGTAACTACAGCCCAGCCCATGCAGCAGTATATGAATGACTAACCTCGTATTGTGGATGGATTATCTCAGTTGTTCTCCTGGTTGAAGTTTGGTCCTTTTACAGCATCCTGCCATGCGATTACATTTGTTCCTGACCACCGAGAACACTCACGTTAACTTTTATCGAGTGGAAAAAAAGTTAGCTTGTTTATATTATGCTAACATAGCTGTGTCGCTAGCGGTCACGTAGCACATCATTATATACCAGCTAGCCAAACTTCAGTAACCCTACAAACGTCACTGCTGTTTAGTTTTCTGTCTTCATTTATGTTGGAAGTGATACCAGAGCTGTACGTTTTAATTTGTTTCCAAAACCCCGCAGTCAGGACATGCTATATTGTATTTAGATAGAAGCTAGCGAGCTAACTTCCTGCTAACTTCTAACTCCGTTAAATGTGATAAATTCCGTTTTCATGGATGCCTGGATGTTAAACTCAATTGTTACACCTGGTAGAGCAGAACGCTGATCATTTTATTAAAGATGAAAGACTTTAGACAGTTTTTCAACTCTCAGTAATGCCATAGTGATCGTTTGATTTACGGAGCTGCAGCGGAGTTTAGGCCCAGACACGGCTAGTGACGTCAGACTTAACGACCGGATAGCTCTCCGTCCTGGACTGATCACCCCCCTCTGGCTCAGTATGACTGAAGCTTAACACTACACACTGAAAAACAAAGATTATAAGTTTAAGTGATTTTTTTGTTGTGTAGTTAATCAATATTGTTCTTTATATAAAATGCATTGTAATATTGGAATGAAACCATTCAGCTGTTAAATCCGATAACTTCTTTTATAAACAAAAGAATGTGATCATGTTAGTGGGGAAATGTTAACTGTTACATTTTCTAGAGGGTTCACCAAAGTCACCAAAGTCTGTTAGTCAGAGTTTGTGAGACTGTTTTAACACACTACTATTGGCATCCCTATTTGTATACCTTATGTCTATTATTTCCAGATAAAGTAAAGTTAAAGTTCCATCCATTCGCTTCTGCTTATCCTTTTCAGGAATTTTTAAGTTATTGTTACATTAATATATACAGCTTATTGAAAACAATGAAGTTAGTGAAATGCAGATTTTACATTTGTAGATTTCACGGACTTTTGATGTTGTATGTAGGGGTATCACAATACACTATAATGTCTTTCAAATTAAACATTTGATTTGTTAAAAATATGACAACAACAATAATAATAAACCAACAAACCAAAGCAGAATTTAAAACGGCAATACAATTTTAAAATTAAAAACAAAAGCTGACATCAATGCTGTTTTATTTATGTACTTGTGCCTAGTATTGTCATCATATATATATATGTGTGTGTGTTTGTGTGTGTGTATAAAGTTCAGTAAAAGGCTGCATTTTCTGAGGAAATTCAAAACATATGACTGCATTGAATCTGTATTACTATTTAACTCAGTTCTAAGGCAACAGTTAATCAGTGATGCATATTAGACAATTGGAAAGACGTAGGCTAATTTAGGTGGGCTTTTCTTTTATTGTAAGGTGTTCACTGTAGCCTCTAACCTACTAACCGTGTTTTGATTCAGTCATGCAATGTGAGGCCCCTTACTTAATTCTTAGAGTAAATTGATGCTGATTTAAGCTAACACTAACGCCTGTGGATTGTTGCTACTGTGCCCTGAGCCTCATCTCACAGGTGTGTCTTCAGTTTGTTTTTGCCCTGATTCAGTCAGTGCACTTTGGGTCTCTCTTTAAGCCTCATTATAGTTTGTGTTCAAAGTGATTACTGTACCCGCCAGCAACAGCTGTTCATATTGGTTTAGCAAGCCTATATTTTCTTTTCTGTAATACTTTTCTTATTACTGACAGTAGTGAATTAATAAAGTTCAACAAATTCAATGAAGTTATGGACAACTTTGTCTGATAGGTTTTTTTTATTTGATTCGATTTTATGTGTAACAGATGGCTCAGTACAGGTCTCTACTTGTGACTTGAAATAAGGACAAATGTTGTCATACCAGCTAAGATTATCAACAAAGATTGGATCGGTACTGTATGCAAAATCAGTTTATTTTTAGTTCTTCGTTCTTCTGATAATGCTCTCTGGTAGAACTAAGACCACCTCCAGTGACACTCAGGTCCAAGTTCATCCCACTGAGCTGTCCTCACTATTACCAGTGCCTTGCCCCAAAAGTGCGCCTGTAGACCACCAACAGATAGCAAGCCTCAAACCCCAATGTGTCTTTCCTGTACAATGTAATTGCAAAGAGGCACTGTAACCATTTTAGACCTCTGACTTTTTTGTATCGAAACTGTAAACGAAAAGGAAAATGTATATCATGTCGATGAAATTGCAAAGACATTATTTCACTATTGTTAATAGCATTGTCACCAGATCTAAATATATTACTATACATTAAATATTACTATAAATAATAATGTAATAATTTTAAACAAGGTCATACATTTGCTTGTGCTGCTAGTTTCAAAATAGGAAGGCCATGGGAAGTACGGGGTGCTGCAGCATCCCTTATTGTAAAAGGCAGCAATCCCAACATCATCTGGCAAATGCAAAAAAATAGATGAAGGTGTTGAAACATTTTAAACATTATAGTTATTTGTTTCAGAAATGTGTGGTTTAGGAAGTTATGATAAACAAGTGAAAATGCTGGTCATGGTCAAATGATGCTACATACTAATCTCCAGTTTTTGAAATTGTTCTTGGATTTCTCCCTGCACAAATATAGAGTGTCATCTCAGTGGCAATTCTGTTTTGAAAATGACAGGGTTGGGTCTTCCTGACTATCTTCAGTACCGCTGGGCTGGTTCTTGATCTGAAGGATTTGGTGCTCAGGCAGTATGTTACGCCTTCTAAAGCCCATCACTGGTCGGGGTTATGCAGACAGCTGGCTTGAATGCTCTTTCAGAGGAGCAGTGCCACAGCACTTAGAGAACCTAGACACGAGGAAAAGCAGACTTAAGGCCATTCAATATTTTGGCATGGTAATACCTCAAGGGAGACAACTGGGGTCCCTTTATTTTTCTCAGCAGGGAGAGATGATCTCCCATAGGGAGAGATGATCTCCCATAGGCACAGATACAATTGCACATCTGTGGCCTCAGGGCCTCCTTTATGCCTTCCCTCCCTTTACTCTTATTCACTTCCACCTGCAGAAGGTCCAAGTGGAGTAGGTGAGCAGGGCTGTGCAGATGTCTGAAGGGGTGGGTGCTCAAAAATTAGAACATAGAACCACATAGAACCAGGGCGAATAACAACCCACATTCATTAAGAATCTAATAGGAAATGGCATCATACTATATATCATTATCATCGGGTGGGGACAATGCAAAGCAAACGTAGTCTGTGCAGGACTCTACACCAGGGGTCTCCAACTCCTGGCCTCAAGGCCCGGTGTCCTGCAGGTTTTAGATCTCACCCTGGGTCTACACACCTGAATCAAATGATTAGTTCATTACCAGGCCTCTGGAGAACTGCAAGACATGTTGAGGAGGTAATTTAGCCATTTGAATCAACTGTGTTGGATCAAGGACACATCTAAAAACTGCAGGACACTGGCCCTTGAGGCCTGGAGTTGGGGACCCCTGCTCTACATGCACACACACATTTAATAAATAAATAAATGAATAAAAACGCCTCAAGAAAAGGGCACTTGGGGCATCCAAGAGGAAAGGGGCAGGCTCTCTAAAACACATTCACACAGACTCAAATACAAAAACAACTTACTCTGTTGTTAATGTTAGAAATGTAGTGCTTGCAGGGAAATAGTTTAGGAGCTCATTTGTTTCCAAAGAGGGGCTTTGTCAAGACAAGTTGTCTTCAGTAACTAAAAACCCACCAGCCTGTGCACGGAGGTCACAGTGATGATCAGTAAGCCTGGGCCAAAAGGGGGAGTAATTGTTTTTTTTGTCAAGTAGCTCAAAAGCCAGTGGTAATCTGTTTCAACTTGCTTTGGCATGTGTGTTTGATTTCGAGGCATGCGGACTGCGATTGTAAATGTGAACGTCTGATGTTAAAGGTGTATATGATGAGTTAAAGATTGCACAGTATTTGTGCTGAGTGAAGAACTTTCTGTGTCTTACAGAAACAAAACAAACACAAGTCTGAACTCAAATAGCAAAGAAAACGAACACATCGGTCTGTGACGGAATATAATTGAGTACATTTATATACATACTTAAAAGGAGCTGTCTCTCATCAGTAGTTCTTTCCTTGTTTGTCCTCACTAAAGTCCCTCCTCTTCTTTTCATATCTTCTGATATAAACATCACCTTTCCCTGCTCTTTTTACATTCCTTCTCCTGTCCTGTCTGGTAGAGCTGCTGGTGTTTTTCTTTAAAGCTGTTGTACAGAAAGGCAACGTTCAGGTAACCAAAAAGACAAAAAAAAATTTAATGTATTTTTAAGTTGTGTGTGGTTGTAATGAGATCAGTCGAGAACAGCTTTTTATTTTCTCACCAGCTGCAGTTTGATAATTTGCTGTGAGGCTTGATGTTTAAAAGAATAATACTTTTATTTTTATGTTAAGTGAGTCTTTTTTAAATCCATCAACTTAGCTTGGCATACATATATGTAAGAAAAACTATTAAAGCTGATGTGCTAACAACCTTTTTTTTTCCTGCATCCTAACCTTCACCTTCTTCATCAGTCTACAGAATATAAATCCTCTACACTATGTCATCTAACCAGTCATTCAAAATCAAACATGAAGAAGCCTACACCTCCCTGATGAGAGGCCTGAAGGAGCTGGACCTACAGGGACCCTGTGTTCCCAGTGACCTGGTGCTGATTGGAGACCATGCCTTTCCTTTAGCAATGAACAGCCGAGGTCAGGTGCTGATGGCTGCCTCTCTGTACGGCAGTGGAAGG